GCTGGCGGAGCGAAACACGCGCTCCTGTTGCTTTTGGTGCCGTATTTACGTCATTTTCACCAAGCTGTGCGCTTCCCAGCGGAGCTGGAACCCCCTGCCCCCCGGCTCTGGCCTGGCTGCCCTCGGGGGGAGCCCGGGCCGTCTGGGACGAGCCGCTGTTGCAGGCGTTTCCGAAGGCTGCTGGCAGGGCCCTGCGGGAACAGTGAACAGGTTGCCATGGAATAAATAGTGTTGCAGTGTCTGTGGTTGTTAGAGAAAGTTGATGTAAGCCAATCATTGAAATCCTGGTATTGATTGTTGAAATACTGCTTACTGAAGGAGTCTCTTCTGAACAGTCGTTGGTATATTGCCTTCCTCAGGAGGCTGCCTTGGCTAAAAAAGGCATTCATTGTCCAAGCACCCGTGCAATTTTTTGGAGGCAAGGCCACTTGAACGTGTTGGTTCCTCTGAAACTTGGTGACTTCTCTAAGTGCAATATACGAAGTGATTAATATTACTGAAAGTGCTTTGCTTTTGCTCAGTCATGTTCATTTCCTTTTGGTATAGGCATGGCTGCTAGTTGAGTTCCTTTTAAGTTCACCAAATAACATGGATTTTCTGGGTTTTGCCTTTTTTTCTTTATCCTTTTTTTCTTTACACTCCCCTCCCTTCTGTGGGATGTCTCCCTGGGAGCCTCCCCTTCTAAGCAGTTCAGCTTCTCTTTCCCACAGGACACACTTCAAATGAAACAAGTAGCCTTACATCATTTATCAAGGTGGGTGGGAACACACAGACCTTGTGATTTAATGTTATGGTAATTGACTTTATTGCAAATTTTATTAAAACTTTCCATTCAAGGAGGAGAGATACATTGAAGCCTTAAGCCTGTCTTCACTTCTCCTTTCATTCCCTACAGGGAAAACAGGAAGCAAACAGTGGATGCAGCTGACTATTAATCAGTCCTTTTGGGAACTCTACAGAGTTAGCATTTCACATAAGATATACTAAAAACTGGTGAAAACTGACAAAACTGTTGCTTTACATAAGCATTTAAAGCAGAGACTGAAATGGTTTAAGCTATCTTAAGTGTTAATAGTATGTGGCAGGCTTTATAGCCAAAAATTGAAAGGGTTTGGAAGCTGTTGGCAGAGGGAACTCGCTCTGTGTTGATGCATGTACCCTCTATCCAAAGAATAAAGCTAAAAAGCTCCATCCCCTTCCTTCGGCCTCCCAGACACTTTGCTCTCGTTCTGTGCAGACTGTGCTGCTGTGGGCTGAAACAAGCTAAGCACAGCCAGCCACCCAGCACAGCAAAGTGCTGCACCTGGCTCAGACCAGGGCAAAAAGCACATCACCTGGTGTGGAAATGGGGCTTGTGCAGCAATCTCCTCTAACAGAGAGGAAAAAAAAATAATCACAGAATACCTAGATGTTATATACAAATGTTGGTACAAATGCCATTTGCAGAGTTGGTGATACCCACACACAGATACAGTCCATTGGTGTAGAGCCATTTGTCAGTTTACCTTGACTGTGAACATTTCTGACCTTCCTGACAGCTGTGAAACACCTGCAGCCTTGCTAGAAGCCACGTTCAGCTCGGTGCATCAGGAGTTGCTAAAACAACCCCTCACTGAGCTAACAGGAGTCTAGAATTCTCAGCGAGAATATCCTGGCTGGATGCAAAAGCTGGAAGACTTGCCTAATTACTGATTACATCCTCCTTCAGCCTTAGCTGAGCTGCTGTGGTTTTAAGCCATCAGACATCACTTTAAAATAAGTGGCCATCATAGGAACCTGATGTTCCATCAGCAACACATTTAATCAACTGAAGTGGCTTGCTCCAAGCTGGAAGTAGAAATTCCAGTAGTAGTATGTCACTGAATTGGGCAGTAGCTCCCACTGAACTCGTCAGCCTTTTCAGCTCAATTCAGCCACCAGTAGAACTGTGTTAAGTTGATCCTCCCTAGGTTTTGCCTCTTTCAACACTTGATGGGGTAGTGTGCCATTTCATGATCAATTTGGGCAAATCAAACACTGTCCTGCTGTTGGAAGTGGTGCACCCAGCATCTTTAGGAATGCTAAAAAGTGTGCAGCTGCGGAATCAGGTGGATCAGCTTGTTGATCTGTCGAGAAAAACCTAAGGTAGTGGGGAGAGAAGATGGTCCTTGCTTTTCAGGTAGTGTAATGGTTTGATGATTCATTGTGTGGTTACATGATCACTAGTGCCTACACAAAGGAAACAGTGGAAAAGCATAGGAGGGGAGAAAGAGGTCCAGAATATCTCTCCTGGCTACAAGATTATTTCAAATGGAAGCCAGCTCACCATGAAGTGCGCTGTTGCTATCTGCTGTTCTTGAAAGACCCTGCCAGCGTTGCAAAAGGTTTGGGCTACCATGAGTAGAAAAATTCAGATTTTTACCTGACAGCAACTCTTGTTTTTTTCTTTTCTGCTGTTTTTTTGGAGGTTTGGGTTGTTTTTTTTTCAACAGAGCACTAGTAATTTAAGTAACTTTACAATACATAAAAGTGGCAACACAGTCTCATAAAATTATTCTGCAGCAGTAATAACCTAAAATACAGAAATAGCAAGGCTGGTAGAAATAAACAGCTACATTAGTTGGTTTAGAAGGTTTGAGGAAGAGGAGTGCACAAGCTTTTAGCTCTTCAGACTTGTCTTCAGAGACATATGCCTCACTATCACTTTTTTACCTGAAAGTTAGTCTGTTAGACTGGATCATGTCTACATGGGGATGTTTAAAACACACCTTGCATTTAAAGCAAAGAATGTAAGTGTCGTCTTGCAGATTAAGTGAAACTTTGATCATCCCTTTGGGGAATGCTAGAATAATACATTCAAGAAGGAATAAAATAGTCTAGAACTTGTCTTACGGACTATCTTGTGATCTCTGTATCTTCAGCTGCCCAAATAAAGAATTTGATGAGCCAGCTGGGAACAAAGCAGGATTCAAGCAAGCTTCAGGAGAACTTGTGAGTAACTGAGCTAAAGTTTGTGTAGGTTATTTCATTTCTGTCTGTGTGCTTGAAAGGGACTGAGTTACTTGGTCTGAGACATTTTACTAGATACATTTAATACAGTTGTTGGCTGTGTGAAGTAATTTGCTTGAACAAATTAAGATGTTTCTACAGGAGCCTGGAGAAGCCATTCAAAACTGGATAGGAATGTTTAGGAACAGGGGTGGTTTATTTTTAAAGGTTAGTAATACATCACCTGTGCATTAACTGTACTCTGAGGAGTATCTGTAATAGCTTCACTTGCATTTTAGAATAAATTAATGTAGCACTAGATACTTCATCCTTACATGAGAGCAATAAGGAGAAACAGCAAGGAAGACCCATAGTTGATGAAAAAGTAGCTTGTAGTAAAAATAGATTTAGGCACTTGAAAGATTAGCAATGTTATGTGCTACATGTCATTGCAGAATATACCAGTGAGACAGTATAGAAGACATTTAAACAGGCATAGTCCAAGCAGAGTCCTAGAGAGACTGCACAAGGTGTCTGTATATCTGTGCATATTTTACAAACTTAAAGAATACATAGCAAGTTATGGGAAGAAAAATTTCTGGAGTTATATAAGAAAACTTGAAAGTAAACTCTTCCTTTATGTCTTCAAGTGACTGTATCTTGAACCTCTAATTATGCACCATCCCTGTTTTTATAATGGCTGATTTTTGTATACGTTCATATCTTGGGGTGACAGCCACACTCACTACATGTGAAGGATGAGATCTGAGCCCCTTTGGGAGAGAAAGGAATTTGTTTACCTGAGCTGCTTAGTTGACTTGATCTGTATTTCATTGGTGGATTAAAAAACTAATCACTGGTGACCACACAAATGTCTTTCCATTTAATTGTAGAAATGACTGTCCTCTTGAAGGTTGCAGTGGTTGCACTCCACAAATTGTCAGCTGCCATACAAATTTAAAACAAAAATGCATGGGTGGTTTGTTCAGCTCCGTGGATTGCAGGTCAACTCACACAGCAGTAATGCAGCCTGAATAGTTTTATTTGTGTACTTCTTGTACTTAAGCATCTTGCATGCATTGAAAATGGGTTCTCATTTTAGTATTTTGTATCTTCCGGATTTACACTATTAGTTTTCTTGTGTATGGCTGCAAAATAAAACTTGCAGTTCCATTCTCTGTGAATCACTAGCATTCATTCTGATAAACTGCATCTTTGATGTTCAGGGTGATGTCTTTAAGTTCAGTGTAACTGGTGTCTTTCTCTCTTGTGGTACTAATGAAGGTGCAGCTGCACTACATCTGTTGTCACAATAGCTTTGAATTGCAATGTTGTTGGAAAACATAAAGGATTAAGGGAAAAGCTGGCGTTTCCCTAAGTAGGAGCTGGATCCTTCCTCTCTCTGACCATTAATTTTCACAAAAATATAACAGCTGAATATTTCTGAGTCTCTGTACTTTTACCAAATGTACATTTAACCAATGGAGTTGGTGGTTGTCAAGTAAACAGTTAGTTACTAATTGGTACCACAAGGAATTAACCCTACGTGAATGATTATGTTCATTGAAGGAAGCTGTCTCTGTCTTGAATTTCTCTCTCATGCCATGGAGAATATCTTTTTAAAACTACTGGATTATACTAATTAGCAGTGAGCACAGAACTACTTTGCACTTTTCTTTTTTTAAAGGTAGTCCAGAGTCAAGTTGATGGTAAAAGCTAAAAGTACATCTCTGTTCTGTTAGGGTGAAAAAAAAAAAAGAAACCATAAAGATGTGTGATCTCAGAACTCCTACTTGGTCATTATTTTGGAAGCTGAAATGCTCAGAGACTGCTTTTTAGGTAGGAGTTGGTGTAACTACTTTTGAACTTTAATTTCAGACAACAGCTACAACATTCTGCAAACCGCCTTGCCAAAGAGACCAATGAGTATTTAAAGGAGTTGGGGTCTCTACCACTTCCTCTATCTGCTTCTGAACAGGTAGGCACATAAAATTTGTCTGAACTTATTTTTAAATCACTCCTTTCTTGAAACTAGCTTAGATCACAGCCTCACAAAGCTGGAGTTGCCACAGCTGAAGAGGCAGCAGCCTTTTGCGATGAAGGATGTTGGTGGAGTAGGGAAACACATTAAACTGGCTGCTCACATGACACTGGGAAAACAGTGTTTCCCAGGGACAAGCAGGTATAAAACTTCCTCGCTGGAAAACAAGAAGCCCTGAGTGTTTTGGTAGAGCAATTCTGGTTTTCTTAGTAAATGTCTGAAAAACAGACTTGCTTACGAAGTGCTCGGTGATGCAAGGCAGTGTTTCAGGATAAGAACTCATAGCAAAGTGCACATCAGTATGAAATGTGATTGTGCCAAAAAGCTTTCCCTTGCATGTGATTTATTGGCCAGGAGTCAGGGAGAAGCTGAGTCTCCTTGCTCATATTTGAACGAAGCAAAATACAGTGAGATTGGGACTTTATGATTTTGCCAAATAGTCCTTTGCCTTCCCCCTCCCTATGGGAAAGTCCTCTGCTGTTGGCATTTTCTTGCTCTTCTTTAAATCAATACTACAATACTGATATATATCTGCTTTTGTGATACTATTGCGGAATGGTCTGTGAATAGGGGTTGGCAGATGTTGTCTAATTCTGTATTTAAAGGTTTCTATGTAATTTTTAAGCATGGCTCAATTTTTGCCTGTTTGTTCAGCAAATATTTTTCAGTTAATCTCCCTGTGGTGAACAAAATCTTGTCCTATGTGTCTTGCTGAATGCAGCAGTGACTTTTGCAGCCTAGTGAGGCCTGTTGGAGCAGTCCAGTCAAAATCGGCAGGAGCTGGCATCCACATGCTGAAGATCTTTTGCAGAAGGCTTGTAGCTTCCAGATGGCTCGGGTGGAAGCTTCAGTGTATTGTGAGGCTGCTGGTGTGGCTTCTTATAGGGAAAAAAAAAAAAGAAGTTAAACTTTTCTTCCCTTGAAATGGCTGTTGGATTGATACAAACTCCTTGAAGGATTACAGTACTGGAAAGCCTGCAGTCTGAGACAGCTGTTGGCAGTCTCTCTAAAGGAAAACATTAGCATTGACCACAGTATTCATGTATTTGGGACAGGTTTTTTCACAATGTCTTCTTTCCCATGACTGGGGTGTCTGAGCTCTCAAAGGAGACATTCTCTCGAGGCTAGATAAGTTGATACTGTAAAATGAGGATGGAAAGGAATATGCAACTAATGTATTTGGAAAAAAAGATAAACTGAGATGGTTATCAGGACTAAGGATATTCTCTGGTCAAATAACAGCAGACCTGTATTGTGGCCTGGCTGGGAGACACAGCCTATGAAACTGGGGTAATCAATGTTTGTCGTTAGTTCTGGAAATGTGGCTCTTCCTATGTTTATAAGAAAGTTAAAGGGCTTGTCATGTCAGGACAAGAGAAAGTTAAGTACTACCAGGCTAGCTAAGTAGAGGAATGGAGAGTAAAGGTATTGTAGGTATCCAAAAGGTTTGTAATTAAATGTGGTAGATCAGTGCAATGTGATACAAATTAAAGTAACGGTGTAGAAAACCTCTCTGCTTCAGACTTAAAACAGGGTTGAAATTAGAGAACCTTCTTGCACAAAGCTGTTCTGCAGTGAGTATGTTACGGAGCATTTGGTTTAATGAATTCAGGTGTGGTGGGCTCTTTGTTCTCTCTCGTATCGCAGAAAGCTGGAACAAAAAGATCACTGGAATCCAATGTTCATTGCTGCTGTTACCATGATGGTTTCTTTGAGACTCTGACAGTTATTGGAAATATCTGGACACTTGACATGTTTTTGTTTAACTTCTTCAGCGCCAACAGAGGCTTCAGAAAGAACGTTTAATGAATGACTTCTCCACGGCCTTAAATAACTTCCAGGCAGTACAGAGGCGGGTGTCAGAGAAGGAAAAAGAGACTGTAGCAAGGGTGAGAGCTGGCTCCCGTATCTCTGTAAGTATTTATAGGAATTGTTTATTGATACAGTGAACTACAAGTCCTTTGACAGATCTTGTACTTGCCTATCAAATTCGTAACTGTTTACTGACACATTACTGAGTGCAGATGAGGCCTCAGTGCATTGGTTTTGTAATTCCAGGTGTTGTAAGACACTCGTTTTGGTGTGCTGTTTGTCAGTGTTAGTTGAGAAGGGAAGGAATTCTGGTAGCTGCAAGTGTTGTGGAGGATGAGATGGGGAGTCAAATGATAGTTAATAGCAAAGTATTGCAGACTGTTCTTTGCTTAACGTCAGCCCTAGACCATAAAATTTAAAAGGTCATCTGCAAGCTTACCACACCTTAAATTACATCTTGAATCTCACACTAGGTTTTGTTATTTTATTATAGCTTCTGTCCTACTGATATCTCCAACGTGTGTTCAAACTTTCTCCCTATTATGTTTTGACGAAGCCCTTTGGCTACTAAGAATTCTTCATAAAAAGGCCACTGAAAGCATTTTTCTCCCCTTGCCTTGAGGCTTTGTGTTAAGTCTGCATTCTTAATTTCTACAAGGTAGCAGTTGGATTGTGCTCTAAATTTTTTGCTACATGTTGAGAAAGGAAGTAACAATGACAGCTGATCTGAGTAAGTGGACTGTCTGCTTTTGAACCCTCAGTTGCCTCAGATTTGCAGTGACAATCTGAATCTAAAAATTAAATAGAAAGATGAATCTAAATCTAATCTTCATGAACCTAAGCTAAATCAGAACGTTGAAGTGACAGTGGCATCCTGAAAGTACTCTCTGGGCAATATATGCCTTTGTTTTCAAGATACTCCTGTTGATTTTGCGAGTGGTCCTGCTAGTCTGCAAGACTAATAACTTATTTATCTCTTCTAGGCTGATGAGC